AAAAAAAAAAAAAAAAAAAAAAAAAAAAAAAAAAAAAAAAAAACAAGCAATGAGAGGAAAGGTGTAATGTTGGCTGCTGCCTTTAAGATGTTGAAGAGCCAATCTAGCATGCTTATATGCCCTACCTTAGCTCCATTTCAGAGCCCAGGAAAAGAAAGAGCAGGTTTAGCAAACTCATTTACCTACAGGGATCAGTCCGTTAGCCTAAATGAGAAAAGCCACCAGGGGAAGAAAAATGGGAAATTATATGTATTTGGCACAGATACACATAGATGGCATATTAGATATGCAAGAATATTCTTCACTCCCACCAAGAAATAACGTTTTCTACTAGATTTCTTAGAACACATAGCCCTTTTAGTATATCTTTTGTTTCCTATTTGTGTATAGGTGTGGGAACTGAGAAATATTTCTCTACTAAAAGAGAAATATCAGCACAAAAGCCATCTAAATGGCAGTGACCCTTGGTGTCAGTATGGGGTGGGTAGGGGTTCATGGGGACTGTGATGTTCTAGGGAGAGCATGCCTCTCGTATAGCAGAAGGCTGGTCCTCAGCTTCCACTGTTGGTTGCCAGTTGGCATGCAGGGCTTTGTGTTTCCAGATCTCTCAAATTTTTGAGAGACACTGGCAATCTAGATCTCTAAATGTAATTTAATGATTTGTAAATTTTGGCTCATAACAAACTTCACAATAATTATTAATGTGAAAAATATATTTGTAAATCTGGACTTGATTTCCAATTTGTAACCTCTGCTATAGGGATTATATTTCATGTGTTCTGTCTCCCTATTACTGTATAGCAAATTACCGCAAAACTCAGTGGCTCAAAACAACAAAAATTTGTCATCTCATAGTTTCTATGGTTGGGAATTTGAAGGTAGCTTCGCCGAGTGGTTCTGGCTCAGGGACTGTCATGAGATTGCAGTCAAGATGTTGGCTTGGGAATCTGCTTCCATGATGGCTTGATCATGTGGCTATTGGCAGAGGCCTCAGTTCCTTACCATGTGAGGCTCTCCATAAGCTACGTGAGTGTCCTTATAATATGGTCACTGGCTTCTGAGAGAGAGAGAGAGAGGCCATAATGCCTTTTGTGAGTTGATCAAGTGCTGTTCAAATTGGCCATATTATATTCATTGGAAGGAACTCACTCCAGTCTGCACTCAAGGGGAGAGAAATTAGGTTTCACCTTTTGGAAAAAGGAGTGTCAAAGTACTGTGGGCATATTTTAAAAGCACCGCCCTATGAGTCCTGTTATTTTGTTCTCAAACCTCAGCTCTGGCTTTAAACTCCATGTTTTGAAATCTTTTTCATGTCTTTGAAATATCCCTTGAAATTCTGGTTTCAGTCTTCGACTCCCTACAGCTCACACCCTTGATCGGGGATGGACATATTGCTGACGGGTCTGACTCTGAACATCCACAAACTGAGGTTCAGCTCTTCCAGGCTGTGTGCAGCTGACTCTGTGCGCATGTGTCCAAACAGATGAGGAGAAGAAATAATGCAGGAGTTTACGGGTGTGAATGTAGGTGGATCCCAGTGAGTGCTCTTAGTCCTTTTCCAACAGTAGCGACAAGAGAGCAGCTTTATTGTCCTTTATTTTTCTCAAATGATGATTAATGAATTCTGTCATGCAAATTGCATTTACAAGAAATATGACACGGTCCTTCTCACTTTTTGGAAATTTTAGCCTATATAGATATAACTGAGATTTTTCAGAGACAAGGAAGTTCATGCTGAGTCTCAAAAGACGATAAAAAGTCAGCCAAGTGGAGAAGAGGGAAAGGGGGACTAAAGGACAGTTTCAGTCAGAATAAGAAACCTCTGTAGTTCAGCAGGACTGTGTTCCTTTCTGGAGGCTTTGGGGGAGAGTCTGTTTTGCTGCTTTTTTCAGCTTTTTTTTCACAACCTTGGCTCACGGCTCCCTCTTCCATCTCTAAAGCCAGCAACATTGCGTCACTCTGACATTTCTTCTGTTGTCACTTCTCCCTCTCACTGACTATGGCTGGGAAAGGTCCTTTGCTTTTAAGGGCTTATGTGATTAAATTGGGCCCAACTGGATAATTCATAATAATCTTTTCATGTCAAGATCAATATCCTTCAACAGCTACATAGGTAACTTATTCACTGGTTCTGGGCATTAGGGCATGCACATCTCTGGGGGACCAGTATTTTTTGTTTCTTCTTTTACACTTGCAAGAAGAAAACTAATGCTTGTATCTTGAAACCTATTTTACTAGGGCCAGCAGATTTATAGATGAGTAGGTTTTCTTTAGGAACTTATATTCCTTAGCACGATTCTAATACCTTTGGCCCTGGGTTGTCCTAGCTCCAACAGCTAAAAACACTTCCATCTGGTAGAGATCATTCGGTCATTAGTCATGTTAGTCATCTTTCTCTCTCTCTTTCCTTCTCCTTCTCTTTTTTCATTGTCCTTTCTGTGGTGTGTACCTGCCTTTTGGCAAAAGCCAGTTCAAGTTAACAGTATGTTGACAGATATTCTGTAAGTGGCCAAAGAATCCTCAGTAGGGATAGGAAAAAGACAAAGAGGTAGTACTTGCTTCAAGGAACTCACACAAAAATACAGAAAACCTAGTCAGTAACATTTTTATTCATATGCATGAGCAGATATGTAGGAGATGTGGATTTAAGGTGAATCTTCCCAGTTTTGTGAATGAGTTCTGACTTCAGTGTTGGAGACTGGGATTCAGAATTGGGGGCAGGAGCAGAAGAGATGGTGATGGTCTTCTCTATGGAGGAAATAATTGGTGATAGGTGAGGAAGGCTTAAATGTCTCCCGAGGAGGTCAACCCACCTGCAATCCAGCAGTGGCTCTGACAGTTAAAAAAAACCAACAACACAAAGACAGTAAACTTGCAAAAGACTTTAATGGAAAAGACTTCAATTCTCTTCTAAATGCAGTGGAGAATTTGGAGGGGGGATGTGTTTCCCCATGGTTTTGCTGATGTACACATTTTTCTTTTCTTGATGTTGTCTGCGCCCCCAACCTGATTCCCTCTGCCTTTGTCTGTCACAAGCCTCACAGTTTCAATTCTTTCAATTTTGTAGACTGCACATTTACTCAGAATAGTGTTTTGCAGACAAAAGAGGAATTTGGGAAGATTTTTCTGTGTGATGTGGTGAGTATGGACAAGGATAGACTCACGGTGTGAGGAGGCTAGGGAGAGTTTTCCTGAAATAATGCTAAAATTGCTATTGACTTCTAGAACCACATCCCATCCATCAGTTAAACACAAAGTGAATAGAAAACTGCCGGAAGATAGTTTTGAAAGAAAACACAGTTAGATTCCAACCAAAGTAAACCCTGGAATAA